TACTACTAACTAATACACGTACTTACTACTTACTTACTACCTTCCTTACTTACTTACTTACTTCTTTACTTACTTACTTACTTACTTACTTATGCATTTACTACTTATTACCTACTTACTTCTACTTACTACTTACTTAATTTACTACTACTACTTACTTACTTACTTACTTACTTACTTACTTACTTACTTACTTACTTACTTACTTACTTACTTACTTACTTACTTACTTACTTACTTACTTACTTACTTACTTACTTACTTACTTACTTACTTACTTACTTACTTACTTACTTACTTACTTACTTACTTACTTACTTACTTACTTACTTACTTACTTACTTTACTTACTTACTTACTTACTTACTTACTTACTTACTTACTTACTTACTTACTTACTTACTTACTTACTGTACTTACTTACTTACTTACTTACTTACTTACTTACTTACTTACTTACTTACTTACTTACTTACTTACTTACTTACTTACTTACTTTACTTACTTACTTACTTACTTACTTACTTACTTACTTACTTACTTACTTACTTACTTACTTACTTACTTACTTACTTACTTACTTACTTACTTACTTACTTACTTACTTACTTACTTACTTACTTACTTACTTACTTACTTACTTACTTACTTACTTACTTACTTACTTACTTACTTACTTACTTACTTACTTACTTACTTACTTACTTACTTACTTACTTACTTACTTACTTACTTTACTTACTTACTTACTTACTTACTTACTTACTTACTTACTTACTTACTTACTTACTTACTTACTTACTTACTTACTTACTTACTTACTTACTTACTTACTTACTTACTTACTTTTACTTAACTTTACTTACTTTACTTTACTTATTACTTTCTTTTCTTACCTTACTTACTTACTTTACTTACTTACTTACTTACTTACTTTACTTACTTCTTACTTAACTTACTTACTTACTTACTTACTTACTTTTTACTTACTTACTTAGTTACCTACTTATTACCTGCCTACTTACTTACTTACTTACTTACTTACTTACTTACTTTACTTAATTTACTTACTTACTTACTTACTTTACTTACTTACTTACTTACTTACTTACTTACTTACTTACTTACTTACTATTACTTACTTTACTTACTTATTTTATTACTTACTTACTACTTACTTACTTATACTTACTTTACTTCTTACTTACTTATTACTTACTACTTACTTACTTACTTACTATTACTTACTTACTTACTTACTTTACTTTACTTACTTACTTACTACTTTACTTACTTACTTACTTACTTACTTACTTACTTACTTACTTACTTACTTTACTTACTTACTTACTTACTTTACTTACTTTTACTTACTTACTTACATTACTTAATCTTTACTATTACTTACTTACACTTACTTACTTACCACTTACTTACTTACTTACTTACTTACTTAACTTACTTACTTACTTACTTTATTACTTACTTACTTACTTACTTCTTACTTACTTACTTACTTACTTACTTACACTTACTTACTTTACTTACTTACTTTACTCTTTTACTTAACTTATTCACTTACTTATTACTTACTTACTTTCTTACTTACTTACTTAACTTTACTTACTACTTACTTTCTTTCTTTCTTTACTTACTTACTTACTTACTACTTACTTAACTTACTTACTTACTTACTTACTTAACCTTCCTTACTACTTACTTACTTTTACTTACTTCCTTACTACTTACCTTACTTACTTATACTTCCTTACTTACTTCCTTACTTTACTTAACTTACTTATTTACTTTACTTACCTTACTTACTTACTTACTTACTTAACTTTACTTTACTTTTACTTATTACTTACTTTATTACTACTTACTTTACTTACTTTACTTACTTTACTTCTTTACTTACTTACTTACTTACTTACTTTACTTACTTACTTACTTACTTACTTACTTACTTACTTACTTACTTACTTACTTACTTACTTACTTACTTCACTTACTTACTTACTACTTACTTACTTACTTACTTACTTACTTACTTACTTACTTACTTACTTACTTACTTACTTACTTACTTACTTACTTACTTACTTACTTACTTACTTACTTACTTACTTACTACTTATTACTTACTTACTTACTTACTTTACTTACTTACTTACTTACTTACTTACTTACTTACTTACTTACTTACTTACGTACTTACTTACTTACTTACTTACTTACTTACTTACTTACTTACTTACTTACTTACTTACTTACTTACTTACTTACTTACTTACTTACTTACTTACTTACTTACTTACTTACTTACTTACTTACTTACTTACTTACTTACTTACTTACTTACTTACTTACTTACTTACTTACTTACTTACTTACTTACTTACTTACCTTACTTACTTACTTACTTACTTACTTACTTACTTACTTACTTACTTACTTACTTACTTACTTTACTTACTTACTTACTTACTTACTTCACTTACTTACTACTTACTTACTTACCTTACTTACTTACTTACTTACTTACTTACTTACTTACTTACTTACTTACTTACTTACTTACTTACTTACTTACTTACTTACTTACTTACTTACTTACTTACTTACTTACTTACTTACTTACTTACTTACTTACTTACTTACTTACTTACTTACTTACTTACTTACTTACTTACTTACTTACTTACTTACTTACTTACTTACTTACTTACTTACTTACTTACTTACTTACTTACTTACTTACTTACTTACTTACTTACTTACTTACTTACTTACTTACTTACTTACTTACTTACTTACTTACTTACTTACTTACTTACTTACTTACTTACTTACTTACTTACTTACTTACTTACTTACTTACTTACTTACTTACTTACTTACTTACTTACTTACTTACTTACTTACTTACTTACTTACTTACTTACTTACTTACTTACTTACTTACTTACTTACTTACTTACTTACTTACTTACTTACTTACTTACTTACTTACTTACTTACTTACTTACTTACTTACTTACTTACTTACTTACTTACTTACTTACTTACTTACTTACTTACTTACTTACTTACTTACTTACTTACTTACTTACTTACTTACTTACTTACTTACTTACTTACTTACTTACTTACTTACTTACTTACTTACTTACTTACTTACTTACTTACTTACTTACTTACTTACTTACTTACTTACTTACTTACTTACTTACTTACTTACTTACTTACTTACTTACTTACTTACTTACTTACTTACTTACTTACTTACTTACTTACTTACTTACTTACTTACTTACTTACTTACTTACTTACTTACTTACTTACTTACTTACTTACTTACTTACTTACTTACTTACTTACTTACTTACTTACTTACTTACTTACTTACTTACTTACTTACTTACTTACTTACTTACTTACTTACTTACTTACTTACTTACTTACTTACTTACTTACTTACTTACTTACTTACTTACTTACTTACTTACTTACTTACTTACTTACTTACTTACTTACTTACTTACTTACTTACTTACTTACTTACTTACTTACTTACTTACTTACTTACTTACTTACTTACTTACTTACTTACTTACTTACTTACTTACTTACTTACTTACTTACTTACTTACTTACTTACTTACTTACTTACTTACTTACTTACTTACTTACTTACTTACTTACTTACTTACTTACTTACTTACTTACTTACTTACTTACTTACTTACTTACTTACTTACTTACTTACTTACTTACTTACTTACTTACTTACTTACTTACTTACTTACTTACTTACTTACTTACTTACTTACTTACTTACTTACTTACTTACTTACTTACTTACTTACTTACTTACTTACTTACTTACTTACTTACTTACTTACTTACTTACTTACTTACTTACTTACTTACTTACTTACTTACTTACTTACTTACTTACTTACTTACTTACTTACTTACTTACTTACTTACTTACTTACTTACTTACTTACTTACTTACTTACTTACTTACTTACTTACTTACTTACTTACTTACTTACTTACTTACTTACTTACTTACTTACTTACTTACTTACTTACTTACTTACTTACTTACTTACTTACTTACTTACTTACTTACTTACTTACTTACTTACTTACTTACTTACTTACTTACTTACTTACTTACTTACTTACTTACTTACTTACTTACTTACTTACTTACTTACTTACTTACTTACTTACTTACTTACTTACTTACTTACTTACTTACTTACTTACTTACTTACTTACTTACTTACTTACTTACTTACTTACTTACTTACTTACTTACTTACTTACTTACTTACTTACTTACTTACTTACTTACTTACTTACTTACTTACTTACTTACTTACTTACTTACTTACTTACTTACTTACTTACTTACTTACTTACTTACTTACTTACTTACTTACTTACTTACTTACTTACTTACTTACTTACTTACTTACTTACTTACTTACTTACTTACTTACTTACTTACTTACTTACTTACTTACTTACTTACTTACTTACTTACTTACTTACTTACTTACTTACTTACTTACTTACTTACTTACTTACTTACTTACTTACTTACTTACTTACTTACTTACTTACTTACTTACTTACTTACTTACTTACTTACTTACTTACTTACTTACTTACTTACTTACTTACTTACTTACTTACTTACTTACTTACTTACTTACTTACTTACTTACTTACTTACTTACTTACTTACTTACTTACTTACTTACTTACTTACTTACTTACTTACTTACTTACTTACTTACTTACTTACTTACTTACTTACTTACTTACTTACTTACTTACTTACTTACTTACTTACTTACTTACTTACTTACTTACTTACTTACTTACTTACTTACTTACTTACTTACTTACTTACTTACTTACTTACTTACTTACTTACTTACTTACTTACTTACTTACTTACTTACTTACTTACTTACTTACTTACTTACTTACTTACTTACTTACTTACTTACTTACTTACTTACTTACTTACTTACTTACTTACTTACTTACTTACTTACTTACTTACTTACTTAC